AAAATAACTTGCCCCTTCTGCTCTATGCAGCAAGCGAGTCATTATCCATGGACAAGGTCACAAGCTAATGTTGTGATAAAGCTAGAGCAACGGATAAAGGCAATCCCACTCGCACATCAATTATTATAAACGTTTCAAGCCATGACAACAACAGTGGAGGCCTCCAACCTTACATCCCCTGTTTCCATTTCGCATCCCTCTCATCGATCAACTTCCTCAACTCAAGTCAGGAAAATAATTCACGAGGCTACGAGCCGCAGTCGACATTGGCTCTTTGAATTTCTCCAGCAATCAATACCGCTCAAAAGCAACCAAAGGGCTCAGGATCTTCGCAGGTCGTTTACGGTCATATAATAACAAATCATATGCGTATCATTAAGGTTTTCCCACAGACATATAACAACCAAAACTCCACATTACCTTCAGTTATCACAAGCCCATGTTCATCTTATGTAGAAATAGAATCCCTGTAGATTTTCCTGAACCGTGGAATATAATTCTCTCAAAACTCCAAAGACTTGCATATTCCAACCCCCTGATTACCAATGAAACTTAACCTTACTTGATAAAACAAACCAGTCACAACAGAAACAATACTTCCCTAGCTACATTTTACCAGTAGATCAGAGCTCTTGACGCTGTGAAATCTAATGACTAACAAGAGAAAAGAGTCAAGGTAATAACAGCAATCTGCTGAAAGCCAAGCATGCATCAAATTAAACAAACCAAGGAACGCAAGGTTCACGCGAATTATAATCAGCAAATATATAAATCCATTAGCCGATCCAGTGACAAGAGTTGATCAAAGAAAATCATGACAACAAAAAACTGAAATACCTCATTCGAAAAACATCGAACATATTATAGTTTCTACAAAAAATAATATAATACTAGATAAGTCCATTAAAATAGAGATGAACACATGCAGATCAATTTCCATTGAAAACTACTGGAAAAAAAATTTCAGCTCAAGAGTGAAAATAGAATGTTTTGATGCAAGTAACAAGAGAACCAACATGCTTTATGAGAATGAATCTACTTAAGGTTTCAAAAAATATTTCATAAGAAAATGATAAGGAACTGCTCACTTAGTAACAGCAGAAACAAAACTCAAACAAAAATAAAACAAACCAGTCACAACAGAAACAATACTTCCCTAGCTACATTTTACCAGTAGATCAGAGCTCTTGACGCTGTGAAATCTAATGACTAACAAGAGAAAAGAGTCAAGGTAATAACAGCAATCTGCTGAAAGCCAAGCATGCATCAAATTAAACAAACCAAGGAACGCAAGGTTCACGCGAATTATAATCAGCAAATATATAAATCCATTAGCCGATCCAGTGACAAGAGTTGATCAAAGAAAATCATGACAACAAAAAACTGAAATACCTCATTCGAAAAACATCGAACATATTATAGTTTCTACAAAAAATAATATAATACTAGATAAGTCCATTAAAATAGAGATGAACACATGCAGATCAATTTCCATTGAAAACTACTGGAAAAAAAATTTCAGCTCAAGAGTGAAAATAGAATGTTTTGATGCAAGTAACAAGAGAACCAACATGCTTTATGAGAATGAATCTACTTAAGGTTTCAAAAAATATTTCATAAGAAAATGATAAGGAACTGCTCACTTAGTAACAGCAGAAACAAAACTCAAACAAAACTCAAACAAAAACCTGCAGTCACTTGCAAAATTAATATAGCATATATTTCAACAATTTGTATGAAACATATTGATATCGAACTATTGACATCTCGCAACTACAATATTGACACTTCAGTTCTCTAAAAACTATTAAATTTATATTGAAACCATAGTTAATACAAGGGAATACAAAGATGTAAGCAAACTGATAACATGCTGCTCGAAAAAAAATACCATAAGAAAACTAGAAAAGAACTACTAATGATTATCCAACTCGGAGATGCATATGTATCCTGGTGTAATTCAAATTAAACACTGCCCAAGACCATGACAGACATTGAAGAATCATATATATGCAGCGTGAAGATAGCCTAAGACAGAGATAAATTGCTCTGTTTCCCAGCCAAAATATATTTCAACATGGAAATCTTAATCTGGGTAACTCCTCTCTCCCAGCTCTATTCACTTCTCCAGTTTACTTTGTTTTACCATCTGCATAAAGGTCTACTGTACAGTTCATGATTAATTCTGTTTGACTTCATTTCTTATTAGGAATCAAAATAAGCCACTGATTCAATAGTTACTTCCACTATTTTACGCCACTAATACAAGCTTTTCATCAGCTTAATATAAGTTCATTTACCTCCTTGAGTAGTTCTTTAGATTGACAACAAGTCTCTCTGTCTAGAGTTAACCCTGTTTTGACAGCAAAAAGCTTTAGACATGGTTTTAAATTTACCAATGAATAGGCATTTGGGTAACGCAGCATATATACAAAGAATATGAGATATCATGCAAGGGACAGAATTAGGAAGTTACTAAATTTCATCATCTGTTGATGAAATAACGTTGATGAAATTAAGTAAAGAACACAAGTATTACAGCCATTAAATCTGAGATTGTGAGACTACATGTACCTTTGAAAAGATTGCATTATCACATATGAGGGGTGAGCTCGGTGATAGAAAAGACTGATACTGCAATAGAGCTTCACCATGTCAGATAAATTATAAATGCGGAATGCACACTTTGATACTTGGTGGATACGTCACCTTTCAACTTATCATTGTATCAATTATGTAACTTGCTTCAGATAAGAAATGGATCAACCGCTGGGGAATCATGAAGTCATGAAGTCGAGCATGTTTAATGGTATATCAAACTAGTTATTTTTCCAATGTCATCTCATATCTTCACTAAACTAAACTCATATATCAAACTGAATAGATGTGAGGACACCCCTAAAAAATCTCCTCCTCAACTTCGATCAAGAGTTCAACTCAGGCACAGTATAAATAACCAAGGGAGATAATATCTTAACTCTTTACAGATAGCTAAATTACCAAATTGGTATTTAAAGTAGACCCTCTTTACCAATATGGTATTTAAAACAACTCCGGCGACATTATGATATTTTATTTCGACCCCCTCTACAAATAAGACCATTTTTCTCATCGTGGTGAAAATTCCTATAAGAAAAATTTCTTTTAATCCCCCACCTCTCAAATTTATTAACGCTACACCCTAAAATTATTCTCTTTTTCATTTTTTTCCAAAGGCTTTCATCTTTTTTATCTTTTTTCTTCTCAAACTCTTCCTTCTCTATTTCAAACACCACCTGAAAAACCCTAATCACCTCCATGTCATCTTGACCTCAATGTCCTCTCGCGGGTTTCGCGGGTCAAATGGAAATAGATAGGGTGAAACGCTATAAAAGAGACGAAAGTTGTAATTTTCGAGAAAGGTACAACACTGGGCCAATGGTGGGCGAGTTCTTGCATCAACGAGGACCAACCTCCGCTAACTGAGTCCACGTGCGGGTGAAGATTGTAAAGTGAATAATGGAGACACTGGAAAGGCTTGATTGCTTGCGAGGAGAACATTTGAGGACATCTTTGTATATAAAGGAGGATCGAAAGTGGGCCTGAGATCGAGAACAAAAGGGGTAGCAATTGAGTAAGCCGCGCCAATATCTCATGTGTGTTGAAGGGGTTGTTGATGTCGATGAATTATGCCTCTTTGAGGAGATTTTGATGATGGGTTGATGAAGATAGTGATGATGGGTAATGGGGGAAATTGAGTGGTCGCACTTGGGATTTGGAGGGGGGTTGAGGAGTTGGCTGGCATTGGAGGTCAGTGGCGGACGGAGAAGGAAACTAGGGTTCTTATGACTGTGCTGGCAGCGAAGTGCTGAAGAGTAATCTAGGGTTAAAAATGGTTTTTTGATGGTGGTTGTCGAAGAGCGCCGCCAGGTCAGCTAACTCAGAAGAGACAGGAAAAAAAATGAAAAAGATGAAAGAGTTGGAAAAAATATGAAAATCAGGATAATTTTAGTATGTAGTTTTAATAAATTGGAAAGTTAGATGATTAAAAGAAATTTTTCTGCTGGAATTTTCGCCGCTGACGAGAAAAAGGGTCTTATTGATAAAGGGAGTCGAAATAAAATACCATAACGTCGCCGGAGTTTTTTTAAATACCATAGCAGTAAAGAGGGTCTACTTTAAATTTAAATACCATAGCGGTAAAGAGGGTCTACTTAAAATACCAATTTGGTAATTTAGACCTTGACAGACAAACAAAGTCGCCCCAGTAACAAATATGAATTCCTCAAACAGAGGGTGCACTCCCATTAAGAAGCCAGCAAATGGAATAACCCGCATACCCAAATTGAAACGACTAAAAACTGAAACCATCTTGGTCTAAAAGGAATTATATCCGAAATCATTTATAAACACATCATAATCAATGTAATTGGACGCAAACAGAAATATACATCTCAACAAATATAGCATGTTCTTAATTCTATTCCTCATCACATAAAAGGTTCATTTTCGGGATAATACAGATACGGAAATGAGGCAGAAATTGCACATATGTGCATTAAAATCATTCCAAACTTGAAAACTTATCGGCTTGAAATCATTTCCCTCGTTGATGGCCAGTTTTTTTTTTTAAAAGGATAATGCAAGATTGACAATGAGGCAGTAATTGAACATATGTACATAGAAGCGAGACAATCTTCACATTATTTATTTGCACTCGCACATTCCAAACAAATCCACAAAATACATACGTACATTCACACAAGAAACTCGAAAAACTCCCATTATTACGGTCCACCACACATTACCAAATCCCAACAAAAATATAACAACGCTAAAAATTACATAAGCGGGGCGGAAAAAAGGAAAAAAATGGAATAAAAATAAATATAGATATAAAGCAAGAGAGAACTTACAGGCTTTCAACAGAAATTTTTTTTTTTTCTCTGCAGCCCCCAAATCATCATTTCCTCCACCTCCACTCTTCTCAATGCAGCCCAAATTCTCAGCACACAAAAGCCCTAAAAATCTCTAAAACCGTCACCCAAAACCCTAACCCGAGAGAGAAACCCTAACCCTAATCCTAAAACCCCAATCAGCGATTCTCCTCTTCCCTCCTCGCGGCGTTCCCCGCCGCGGCCCCCGACAGAGAAGCGAGCAGATTCAAATGCCCCTGGCTCATCGGCCAAGTATGTTCCCAACCCTGGCCGGCCGGAACGCCCTCGCCGGTGAACCCCGCCGCCCGCGCTGCTGCGGCGCGGCATCACAATCTCCTGACCGAGAAGCTCCACAGCTGGCCGAAGTCGGGCCTGGCCGGCACGCCAGAACCCGGCCGCGCCGATCCCCACGGGGGTGGGGCCCACAGAGGACTCGTCCTTGCTGTCATCGGCGGTCGTCCCGGAGCCGCTTCCGAGCGATGAAGGGGGATGAGGTTGACGTGGGCCCGGCGGAGAGGTGGGCCCGGGAGCCGGAGGTGGAGTTGGGCGTGGAGGTGAAGCTGGCGGGTCGCTTGCGCCTGCCGGTGGCGGCGATGATGGAGGCTCGGCCTGCGCGAGGAGCCACTCGATGGTCTGGCCGTCGGACTTGTGCCCAGCTCGCGTGTCAGGGCTGAAGACACGCGCGGCGCAGATGATCGCGGCATGCGGATGCGCGGCCGCGGCCGTCGACCTTCGAGTGGCGGTCCTTCGAGAGGGTTTCTTGACGCGGACCGTCGCGCGCGCCGTAGATGGGACGGTGGCCAGCTGTTGTTTGGAGTTTGCCGTTGGAGTTGACGCCGTCAGTCATCGTTACAGACAGAGGAGGGTGGGGTTTTTTTTGGTTTTTATGAGTCCAGAGAGAGGGGAGGGGAGTTTGGGGGGGTGGGGGGGGCGGGGGAGGAGGGGGAGGAGGAGGAGGCGAAGGGAGACTAATGATTGAGAGGGGCAGGAGAGGGTGGAGACAGCGTGAGAGCACATGGGGATGTGGGGCCACGGACAGGCTTACTTGTAAGATTTTGAGGCGAGAGGGTCGGAAAGGGGCTGAGGTTGGGGTTTAATTACGGGGGCGCCACTGAGTGGGAGAATGATAAGGAAGTTACTGGATAGAGAGGGGGTGCGATCACTCGCGGTGCGGGCCTGAAGCCCGATTGTTTTTCTGGGTTTTTTGAGTAGAGGTGGTGTGGTTTACCCGGCACTTATTTTCCCGCTCAAATTTGAAGTTTAAAAATAAAAAAAAAATCTCCATTTTTTTTTGCATCTATACGAACATCAATCTGTCTAAAGACACGCTAGTTAAGGGTAATTGCTTGTAAGCTAATGTAGCCTAGTAGCCGCAATAACTTCCAAGTAAAAAAAAAACGGTCCAACCAAACAGACCGTTTAGAAACACCAAACAGACCGTTTAGAAACACCCAATGAGCATTCACTTTGCACAATATTTAACAAAGATCTTCTAATAGATCTCTTGTCGTGGCTATATCAACTTTTAAGCAACACTCGCGACGGAAAACTATGACTCTCTCCATGTTTGGACGTGTCTGTTTGTCACTATTAGGCAGCAAAGACAATAATATAGTTCGCCATAACGGAGGGGGATTTCAGAGTCCTTGTGAAAACGGAATTGCAAACTTTAAGTTGGAGTTCGAATCATCATATATGATTTTTATTTTAACTTTGTTCACGAATTTTGTTAGTTTCATATACAAGGTCTGGAGTTCAAATCTTGCTCACATCATGCTTCCTTCTTATTTGTCCCACTAAACCTTTGAAAAGGATGTAATGTGACTCATATATGCCCATTCTTCTTCAAGGTATTCTGAATAAACTATGTTTTTCAAAAGAAAACTTGCCAATCGAAGATTCTCCTAATGAGTAATTATTTATTAATTAGAGTGCGGAATCTCACATCAAAAATCACAAGGTTCAAAAATAAATAAGACTATTTTAATAAATACGCTTTTTTCTCATATTAGGGCCTGTTTGGTTATTTCAAAAAAAAATCGGAAATGGAAAACTCATCCTTGAAATGATTTCAATACATTTCATGCACATTTCCCAGATTTCTTTTTTTTGGTTTGTTTCGCAAAGAAAACTCCACATTTCAATGCCAAGTCACACACATTTCCCAGATTTCTTTTTTTTGGTTTGTTTCGCAAAGAAAACTCCACATTTCAATGCCAAGTCACACAAACAGACAAAAAAAGTGGTTTGTTTCGCAAAGAAAACTCCACATTTCAATGCCAAGTCACACAAACAGACAAAAAAAGCCTCCAATGTAATAGTGCCCAGATTTCTATTTCTTTTGTTTGTTTGAGAACAAGAAATAGGAAATGAGAAATGAGTGTATTAAATATTATGTTTTATTATTCTGAACTATTCCAACAGTGCTTTTACTAATTAATAATTCTTAGATGGGACATTTCCAAGTGTTTTCAGCCCAATTTGGTGTGAAAACACATTTATTGAAAGTTTGAGGTGGCAGCCTACGTGGCGATTCATTTCTCGAAAATTAAAAACGAAACAAACAAGAGAAATGGAAATCTCTTGAAAACAAAATCCCATGTGGCACTTGTTCATTTCTTGAAAGTTGAGGTGGCAAGAGATTTCCAGATTTTTTTTTAGCAAACAAACAGGCCCTTAGACTAAAATTTTGTCCTATCTTATAAAGTATACCTCAAAACTTCGTATTTTGTAGATCACACAAGGGCAAATCCACCTATATCAAACTGGTGTCATGTGATACTAGTTTGATATGAGATGCATAGGATCTGCCCCAATTTCTCATTCTTACCAGAACCTATTCTTTTTCTTACCTGATCCCAGTAAGAAAAATCCAAACAGTAATTTTTCTGGAAAAAAACACTGACTTTTAGCCCTAGTCCTCATCTTTGCCTCCTTTGACTTGTCATCGTCGCCATTGCCGGAGGGCCTCAAGAGCTCCGGTGGACCTATCTCCCCTTCTCTTCTTCCTCCTTCACCTTTAGTCTCCATGGCTCTGCTTTCTTGGTTCCTCTTTCTCATTTCACTGACCGCCTGATCCCAAGGCCTCTGACGACCTCTTTGTCCTTGCCTCCTCAAGACCCAACTCTCCTTCACTTCTCCTCATTCATGATGCAACCTCCTCTGGCCATAAA